TTGCGCACCAGCGGCGCGCCGCTGCGGGCCTGCGCTGAGGCGCTGGCGGGCGGCGCGCCGATGCGCGGGGGGCGGCGGCCGCGCGCCGCCGCGGGCCCTCGCCGGCGCGCCTCAGAGCTATTGGCGACAGCGCCCGAGGCCGCTGCGCGGCGGGCGCCGGAAAAGGGCCCCCGCAAACGCCAGCTGCGCGCCGCGACTGGTTTGCTTCGGTGTCTTTGAGAATCGCGACAGCGCCGGAGGCTGCAGCGCGGGCGGGCGCCGAGAAACTGCTGGGGCGCGGGCCAGCGCGGGGCCCCTGCCGCGGGGCCGCCTAGCAGGCTCGGAGCGGCGCTGGCCACGCGGATTCCGCCGCGCAGGGCGGGCGCTGCCAGGCGACGCGGGGCGCGGCGGGACTCCCGTCCGGCAGCCTGGCTCGCCCTCCTCTTCCCCCTCTTCCTCCTTCTCCCTCTTGGGCGCTCCGGACCGCGCGCCGGCCATGCTCTGCGTCGAGGCCTTCGTTTTTCCGGCGCGGGTGGGGTGTACCCTCGAAGCGTGGCTGGTTGGCGAACCAGCAACGTGGGGGCCCGAGAGAGTCTGCTATCTGTCTGTCTGTCTGTCTGTCTGTCTGCATGTCTGCCTGTCTGTCTGTCTGTCTGTCTGTCTGTCTGTCTGTCTGTCTGTCTGTCTGTCTGGCTGTCTGTCTGTCTGTCTGTCTGTCTGTCTGTCTTTTTGTTTTGTCAGTCAATCAGTCAGTCAGTCAGTCTTGCAGTCTGTCTGTCTGCCTGCTTGCCTGTTTGTCTGCACGTCTCGTACTTACGTCTTGGAACTCCGCGCCGGTGTTTTGGATCTGCGGTGGACCTGACTGGAAGGGCCGCTGGCGCCGCCCTTGGCGCGGTCCATCGCCGATCCACGAAATTTGGTTGATCTCATACATATGTTTGGATATCCTACATGTGCTTGTCTCGACATCTAGGCCTCCCACATAGGGTTCGAGCATGTGGGGTCGGTGAGTCGCGCCGCGTCGAGGATGCATCGGTATTGCGGTTCGATGCGGAGCCAGAGTTTCTGGGCACCGATGGCGCCGATGCGTCGCCGACGTTTCCGATGCATCGTCCATGCATCGCCGATGGTATCGCTGGAATGGAGGTAGAGTCAAACCACAGAAGAGTTCCACAGGCCCACAAGGGGAACGGGGAGCCCGAGAACGTCCCATTTCCCTCCGGTCCAGCAGCCGTTCTGCGTGGCAGGGCCATCGGATTCTCACCGCTCCAGCCTTGCCACAAAAGACCACGGAAGAGTCCCTCAGGGGGAAGGGCAGCCCGAAACCGCCCGTTTCCCCTCCGGTCCGGCAGCCGTTTTGCGTGGCAGGGCCATCGGACTCTATTGCAGCCTTCCCATGCCCATTTCTTGCGCCAGGGCCATGGATTCTCACCAAGAGTTCTTGGGAAAAACTAGGGTTGCCCACGATTCCTCAGGAATGCGTCGGACATCTCCTTTCCACCAGCCGACTTCGTACTCTGCGACCCGCGTCTTCACTTTTGCCGCTGTGAGTGTGCCTTGCTGAGGTAATTTCGCGCCGCGCGATTTCGCTTCGTTTCGGCCCCAGGACCCTCACCGTCCTTTGCGTTTCGAACACTTCACCAACAAATAGTGTTCTGCATCCGGTCAGGATTGATCGCGATGTTGCAGTTTCGGTCGACATCGGATATCAGGGTCTGTGTGTCCGTGGAGGTGCGTTGGTTGTTGTTCGCCCCAGGTGGCGGATGGGTTAACTGTGATGTTTGTCTTTTTTGTTCGCCCCCTTGGCGGGTGGGTTTGTGTGACATGCGTTGTGTTTCGGTTTCGCCCCTATGGCAAAGGAGCGACGTGCCGCCCAAATCGGGTCCGAGTAGATGAGGTTGAAGGATCGCGCTGAATCGCCGATGCATCGGCGATGCCGGTTCGATGTAGAGTTCTATTTTTGCATGCCGACGTCGCCGATGCATCGCCGACGCATCGCCGACGCACCGCCGATGCATCGCCGGCGGCCACGGGAGGATGCCAGGGATCCTTCTCCCCCGCGCGCCGCGCCCGCGGCTCCTCCTCCTCCTCCTCTTCCTTCTCCTCCTCCTTTACAAATGCACATTCTGAGTGCTATTTTCCTCCTCGTCCTCCTCCTCCTGGTCCTCCTCCTCCTCCCATTCCTCCTCCTCCTCCTCCTCCTCCTCCTCCTCCTCCATGCGGGTACGAACTGACTCTACTTGCCCGCGCTGTGGGCAGCAAGGATGCGATTGTTATAGCAATTTCTGGTCCTGTGCATACCTCTTCCTGATGAACGTGCAGTGTACATGAGGGATGTTGATTACAGGGGCTTCCACCACAGTCAGCTATGAGTCTCCTTTGGTCGCGTGGTCTGGTAAGTAGAAGTTGCTTCCCCTCACTCGCGCCACGAGACGACAGCGGCCGATGTCACATCAAGTACGGGGTCCCAATGGCATCACAGGGCAAATATACACTGACGGGGCATGTCAACGCATGTGGTGTCTCGAGTGAGGAAGGTGCCCGAAATGTCCGTCCGAGGGTCAGCTTCGAGCCCACAACAGCGGTGCGTGATAATGCTGCCTCTGAGCGAGACCAGGCGATAGCTGATCTTGTTCCAGATCGATATGGCCCTGCGTTTCAGGCTCCTTGGTCACGATTTTGTTTCTGAAGAGGTTGGGAGGGACTAGCGTCACGAGAGCGGAGCACCCTCTTGGTGTGCTCCCCGTGACGCCAATAACTCTTTCGCTTCCCTCCCTCCTCCTTTTTCCTACTGTGCCAGCGTCGGCCCCATGATCCACAGGTGGGGGCTGGCGACTTTCTGGCGCCTGGTGTTTCGGCCACCGATTCACCCCTCTTCTGTGCCCGCCACGCGCTGGGAGACCTGCGCGGCGTCGCCAATGCAGTGCGGTATCCTCTGCAATCGAACATTCTGAGTACTACTCTCCTCTCCCCTCCTTGACTCTGCGCGGGAGATGTTCGAGCAGGGTTTCACACTTCGGTTGCTTTCCTGTGTCTTGTGCACTATTGTTACATACCGATTGTTTTCGGTGTCTCAAAATGGTGCTCCCGCTGCAGCGTGGGCCTCATTTTCGGACCGGCGCTGTGCTGCCATCGTTCAGAGTCTCGTGGCGCTCTCGCCCCAACGGGGGCCACTTTTCTGGATCCTTCATCGTTGTCGCCCCCCTTTTTTCCTCTCCTCCGCCTTTCCCTGGTCCCCCTGCTCATCCCGCTCCTTCCACTACAGCTCATGCTGCTGCTGCTGCTGCTGTTTGTCCTCGTCCTCTTCCTTCCTCCCCCTCCTCCTCCTCCTCCTGCTTGTATTTTCTGCTTCCCCGTTACCTCATCTTCTTTCTCAGATGTACGCAGCTCACGTTTTCCGATTGCGCGTAACCCGATGGGGCTTTTTTTAGAGTTCCAGGTCGGCTATAACACGCGTCCGCAGAAAGGGGAACACAGCGCAACGGGAAGGGATGGGGAGGGATGGCGTCAGATCTGGCGCGAGCGCACCTAGCTTGTCCTCCTCCTCCTCCTCCTCCTCCTCCTCGTCTTCCCCTCCCCCCAAACCCTACTCGGTCCTCCTCCTTCCTCGATCCTCCGAGATCCTCCTCGATCCTCTTCGGGCCTCCCTCCCCCCCCCTGTTCCACGTCCTCCTCCCCCGCGCGCCTCGCGCCCGCGGCGCGCGCCTGGACCGAGGAGACGGCCAAGGCGCGCCCACCGGCGACCGCCGAGCCCGTGGGTGATGGAGGGGATGGGGGCGGTGAGCCGGCGGTTGCCGTCAATATGGATTTGATGAGCGACGAACCACACGTAAGAGTGACCCTTCGCCGGAGTGACCTTTGATGCGGGCTCATCGGGGTCCCCCCAAACCGCTGAGCGCGATGCGGTAGCGGGTGCTTGCGCGTCTGGATTTGGCCACACGGCGCCCCCTTAGTCCGCGCACCAAAGGTCCCTCTTGCCTAGGGTCACTCTTGCGTGTAGCCGACGGACGAAAGTTCTGCGTCAGGCCGCGCTCGGGCAGGGCCTGAAGATGGGTACGGAAAGAAGGGGGACGCAGGCCGACATCGGTTCCTGTCTATTTGGACCAGGGCTCGCTGTCGGCTTCGCCGCGGGCGCGGTCCATTCGAGGCAGAAGGTCGCCTGCACAACAGCAGCTGCTGTCGGTTTTGGCCAGCACTTGCTGTTGGGCGTTGTATGTTTTTCCATACCAGCGCGCAACGGCGTGCCACGACATGGTACGATGGATGGACGCCGTTTTCGCACCCTGGGCCTCGTGAGGGGTGCCCTGGAGGCCCCAGGCCCGCCCTCCTGGGCAGCAGCCGGTGTTTCCTGGCATCTCGCAAGGGCACCCGCGGCCAGGGCCGCCACCTGGCAACACCTGGCGTCTTCCATGTCGTCCACGTCCTCGTCGTCTTTGTCGTTCTCCACGTGAGCGACGCAAGAGAACGGGGTCTGACTGCGCCGACATTCGCGCGTAAGCTTCCGGCGTAGTATCGCGCGTAAGCGGCCTCGTTTCCCGTGCAGCGTGTCACGCTGGCGTCCCGCGTAAGTTGTGGCGTAAGGTCGCTCTATCTTCTCGCGTATGACCTGTTTATTTTTGTCTTTGCCCACTGCTTATTCCAAATCTGGTGCACCTGGGTCATCAAGGTATGCTTGAGGAGCATTGCCTATGATGGCTGTGTATGAGAAGGAGACCAGTCTGCCGGTGTTTGTTGGCCTGAGAATGTGACAGTCGATCGGAGATCCCTTTCGGTATGATTGAATGTGGCCTTTGGGCTCCTTTGGGAGGGCATGGTTCGCAAAGTTGAATGTTACATGCCTTTGCCTTTACTGCCTCGTGCTTCCTGCTATGGAATGCCTGTTACTTTGAGGACGGTGGCCCCGACTCGACGGATCCTCACTGCAGCATTTTGATCAGGTCACCAGCAAGCCGCTGGCGCAACAAAGTGAGCGTGTTCACTCGCAAAGCTGCTGACTCGCTGCGTCCTGCGCCCCTCGCCAGGCCGCCGCGGAAGCAGCGTCCCGCGAAGCGGAGCTGAAGGCGGTGCTTGACGAGGACAGCCGGAGATGCTCCTCGCTCGCTCCCCGCCCCAGCGGGGACGCCCGCCTCCTCCGCCTCCTCCTCCTCATCCTCCAGGAACAAGCAATGACATAAGCGTACTGTCCACCTCCTCCTCCTTCCCTTCCCCTCACCGCCCACCAAGCTACCCCCTCCATTTCCAGTGGGGGGGGGGGCTCGGGGAACATGGACAAAAACACACGAAACCCGTACCCCCCACAGGCCGAACTTCGGATCTTCGGGTTGGGTTGGGGTGGCTTGGTAGGCAGTCATCCCCTCCCTCGCAGCAGCCTCTAGCGGACCCCAATCCTAGCGCGCCCGCGCCGCCCGCCGCCGCCGGCTGGCCCGCGCGCACACGGGGCCCCCGGGCGCCACCGGGGCCCTTGTCCTAAGGGAGAGGGGGGGAGGGCAACCTTCCTAGGAGGAGGAGGCGGTGGAGGAGGAGGAGGAAGAGGAGGAGGAGGAGGAGGGGGAGGAGGTAGGAGGGAGCAGGGAGGAGGAAGGAGGAGGAGGAGGAGGAGGAGTTTTTTTTGCTGTGGACCGCTGCCCGTCAAGCTCCCGAAGAGATTGCCAAGCAGGTGAAAATTGTTAATTATAAGTCGATGAGCGCATCGACGGCGCTCCCCCAATCAAGACACTTTTTCTTAGGGGGTTTGCCTTGCCTGAGCCTCCCCAGCGCCTCACAGTTATGTGCCGTGAGGGCCGCCGGGCCATTCGAGGCGACTCGGCACTCCATGCGCAAATCGCGAGGCTTAGATTCCGCCCAGCATCCACACAAGCCACAGAAAGTGAAGCGACCTTTACTCCAGGCAGCGTGGCTGTCATGCACCCTGTGCCCGTGGACGTAGGCAGGGGCAGGCAAACGTCGAGGGGGGTCGGTCATCCCAAGCCTACACCAAAGGTCATCATCGATTGGTGCTTTGCCGACCTGCGAGCCCCCCGCTCGCCGCCCTCTAGCCCGCCGTGGACGCTCAGGCGTGGGAGGCGCAGTGTGCACAAGGGCCGCATACTTCGAACGAACCGTCCGGAAAAACATGCGAGCGGCGGGTTGCAACAGTTTGCTGCACGCTGTGCACCTCTATATGTCCTTGGCGACGGGCTCGAAACCATGGCTTGACGCTTCAAGAAGTGCAATCACAACCTGCCGCCGGCGGACCACTCGCGGAAGCTGGGCACGATGCACTATGCGCTTTGGATTATTGGGGGCCCTGGTTCGTTCCAGTATGATGGAAGCATTACGTCGCAAGATGCGGCAAGCCAGATTTTCAAAACCAACAACTTCACGAACAACATCGGCTGGGATCTGGGCGCTCGCCGCCCGCGCCGTGGCCAGAGCATCGCGATCGCATTGATGAAAAGATGATGAGGTACCAAAGAAGCTGCCAGACGAGTAAGCTTCGCCTCCTCATCGGCACAATGGCTAGGCGTGTAAACTAAATGAACCATGCCAGACCTCAAGTCGAGCAGCTGCCAGAGCTCCCACCACAGATCAGCATTCTGCAACCGAAGGGTATGATGACGTCCCTTCCGAAAAGCTTTCAGGTGATTGATGTGGTCGGTGACCACAGTTAGGTCCTGATCTCGTGCCACGCGACGCACCACCTCCACAATGGCAACCAACTCAGCGCGCTGAACTGTCTGACGTTGACTGTCCAGCATCCCGTGCGCCCCACAATCCCAATCAAGATCAGCAACAATGCGCAAACGCGCGAAGCCAAAAGTCACCAGGCGCAGGATGGGGTCGGTGGCATGGGGCCCTCCAGCGCCATCGGCGCCGTACATTCCTCCCGGAAGAGGGCCATCACAACAACGGAAAAACTCCAACGCCCGATCCTCCGGAACTCCGGGAAGACGTAACCAATCCTTGGGAATGAGACCACGACACCAAAAAATAGGGCGTTGACTAATGCCGTCAAGGGCCTGCTGGCGAAGCTCATTGCTCTTGGAAATGTGCTCACAAGAAGAGGCGGCGTGGCGTGAGCAACTCCAGAAGGCATGACAAGACGAGTCAACAAATGAAAGGCACTGCTGGCACAAAGGATCAGGAGCAATCTTAGCAGAGTGCTTGCGCTTCTCTGGCCAATAACCGCCGCATGCGACTAGACGAATCATGCTGGACAGCGCCAAATCACCGGCTTTCGCTACGCGCCGAATGAGTCTCACCACGTGCGTCCATTCGACGCCATTCTCAGCGCCGCCTCCGTCATGAAAGGCCGAGGCAGCGCGCCAATGTTTAGCGTCGAGACAGGCGTCGAAGGCCTCGAGGAGCGCGGTCACGGGGCCCTCGCCCGAGCCCACCATCCGCCAGACTTCCCCGGTGGGCTCGTGCACATCAGACGGCGAAGGGCACTCCCAGCCGAGAGATATCAGCGTGGCTTGGAAGGCTCCCATGGGTCCTCGAATGAACCCCCATCCACGTCGCACGAGCTCAAGAGACTTATCCCAAGATGTACGGATGCGGTCAAAAAGAAGACCCCTCCCAGCTGTTCTACTGTGCCACGGGCTGACGACCCTCCGCACATGAACCTGGGCAGGGTCGCACCCAGGGCCGTAAGTGAGACGGAGGGCCGTGGTGCAACAAGTACCTTTCTGGGGCGAACGGCTGGACGCATGAGCCATCGCCCGCAATCGCTTGATCATGTACGGCGCTAAGCCGTGCACCTCGGACGCCCCACAACACTTCGGATAAGCATTCGTGCGGAATAGCTTGCACGCATCCCGGTCAGAAGATGAAAGGCGGTTGATTTTAGCCGACGCCTTGCTACCAGCGTTCATGCGAGCACGCCGGACAACAACCGTCCGTCTATCGCCGAAGCTGGTGTCATGGCCCAGGTCACGGGCTTTCGCGAGACCCTTGATCTCACCGAGTCCACCCTCGCGCACCAGCGAGACGAGCTCGTGACGAAGGCTCACGGACGAGGCCAACACTCCGCATTTTTCGAGGGAGAGTTGGACCTTCCGCCGGCGCAGACCAGTCAGAAGTGTCCTAAGCAAAACAGGAAATGTGGCAACAAGAGGTGCATGCGTGCCGTACAAGCGACAGGATATGTCATCAACCCATTCCTGTAATGATTGTCCAGACACCGATTTGGAGGCAGCATCGAGAGGAGCATGCAAGAAAGCCCTGGCCAAGGAAACGGCCTGGCCACAGCCTGGCAGGATGCCGCCGCTCGGCAGGACCCCCTTGTGCACGCAACCTGACATCGTCAAGATCCTCACCCCCAAATAAGAACCAAGGGCGAGAGCCAGAAGCCTGAGCGGATAGTTAAGCTCAGTTGCCGCGTCCACAAGATCGGCCCAGTTAACTGAATCGTAAAACTTACGACGATCCAACAATAGGCCGGCGACCTGGAAAACCTGATGCAAAGCTAACTCTGACTCCAATTCGTCCAACCAGCCGGCGGCTTCGGCTGACCCGCCAACTGTTTTGTCCCATGGGCCGTGAAATGCACGGTCCCAGGCTTGCACATAAGGCTTTCGGATCCGCAACAAAACAACATAGCAAAAGCCCATGAGAGCAATGGGGCGCCGCCCCCCACCTGGTTTATCAAGGAGTGCAATGATACTGAAAAGCTGCTGCATGGGAAGAGCGGCTTCTTCCTCGATGGCCGCGAGCATCTGATCGAAGGCCTTCTTGGCATCAACGCTGGCCTCCTTGAGCAGCCGAGGAGGGAGAAAGTCAATGCCGCGGCCCCTTCTGTCAGGAATGGCATTGAGCGCATCTTCCAACATAGCCAGAGTGATTGGTTCGAGGCGAGGGGCCTCGCGGGCGCGCGCGCGCGCAACGACGCTAAGATACCGCGAGCCTCACCCTCAGAATGCCGACGCCAAATGGACGACCAAGCCGAAGCCTCAAAGTCGAGCAACTCTTCAACATTGGAGTGCATTTTGGCACCCGACGCATGGTCACGAACACAAGGAATTGCACCCTGCTTGAGGAGACGATGCGCTGGACCAGCAGAGCGTGACAAAGCCTCCTTAAGCCAAGATCGCCAGGAAACCCGCTGAACAGAGGCGGCCTTACTGGCCATCTTGGCCCCCATGGCAGCAGCCTCCTCAGCCATCTGTTCAAGGCCATCCCGCGCAATGCTGGGAAGCACAGATAAGCGCCCTCGCCACATCTGGACAACGGCGACCTCACTCGCATCATCGGGATTCGCCGGGGGCGGCACCTCAAGAGCCTGACACTTCCGAACAATCGACCAAAACTGCGCAGCGCAGCGTGGCAAGGGTTCCGCCAGGCAAGAAGGGTCAACTTCCTCATTGAGCTTAAGCAACACATGCAGCTGCACCCCCAAAGCCTGCCAAAACCGTGCAAGACGATCCGAGACATTGGAAGCTGGCACAGTCTTCGGTAGCAGAGGGACCCGGCGAATGCGAGGAGGCTGGCAACGCCCGACATGGGCATTCCAAGAATGGGGAGGGAGCTGCAAACGATAGCAGGCCTCCAATTCAACCGCAATGCACCACTCAGACAATCCATGTCCCAAACCTAAGGCAACATGAGGCACATCATGGACAAGCAGTAACTCGTGCCAGGCGCTGGAGTTGGATCCACGAAAACGCTCCATGCAATGAAACATAAGCTTTGCCCTAGCCACGGCGCTCGCCCAGGGCAGCGTGGGACCCATAACGCCTTTCATATCACGAGCTTTCGGCTGCATGATCTTCAGCACCTCAAGCTGGCGAGGGGCAGCACAGAGGCGGAAGCTCAAAGCACTATGGGTTCCCCACGGGGCTGAGGGGTCGATGCCATCAAATTCAATAGCATCCAGGAAAGCATTACTCACACAACAAACATCAATGAGACTAGGGGTACCTGCGCCAACACACGTGGCAACAACATTCGGCATGGGAACTACTGCCAAACCAGCTTCGACCAAGAAGCCGGAGTCACTCAACAATTCCGGCCGCATGTTCCAATCACCTGCAACGATGACCGGCGCACCCGCTCTCGAGATGAGAGCGCCGAGCTCGGAGAGAAGAGAAAGATTAAGACCC